TGTGTGTGTGTGTGTGTGTGTGTGTCATCAGTACAACTTATGCCACATGCCCCTGTTGGAAGTTCCCCATTCTGGGCAGACCAATCATTTGGGCCTGATCGTCTAGAACACTGGGTACTCTTGGCAAATTTAGCTCATGACTGTTGAGTTGGCAGGTCTGACACTGTCTCTCACCATTAATCTAGTGTACTGCCCTCTTATTTGTGGGTACCGAAACGGTCCCATGCACCTGATGATGTTTCTCTCATCAGTCTGTGAAGGTTCTTGGCTATTATGTGGTGCATTCACTAACCTTGGTCTTGAAGAATGCTCTCAGCTTCGACTCCGCACACACAGTCAGCTGCTTCAGGCCTATATTCCAGTCAATGCTGAAGCAGCGTGTGGTCACCTCCCACTCCTCCCTTCTACTTTCTTCCATTGGAAGTACCTTCACCTCCGGTAAGCTGACTTCGTAGATTGACTTGAGGTTGTAAATGCAAATCTTCTGCAGCTCCACTTTTGCCACTTGGATGGGATTTTTCAGCTCGAAGAAGTCCTGGCCCTTGTGTAACAGTCGCATTCCATAATCCATGAGAATGTGGAACAATTGCAGATTGCTGCTGGAGGTGTTTTCCATTCCCCCTGCTCCTACGATCAGCAGTAATGCAAGAATTGTAGCTAAAAACACCAAAGATTTGTTGATTGAATTACTCATTTGTGTGGGAAAATTTTGACGAAATACACTCCAATTAGTGGAAAATAGTTAAAGATTTTGAATCAGAGAAGGTTACGTCGAGACTGAAAAGCATCCATTACGCAAGCGTTTACTAGCATAAAGAATGAAGAGTTTTGCTGAAGGAAACATTAGAGGCACCCAGGACATGTAGGAGATGGCAAATGTAGCCCCCTGCTTCTACCATACGCGATGAACAGCACTGCCCACCACATAAAACCAATGGCTTCGAGGTTTGGCCAACATCTAGATTCTGGAAGCACCTACTGAAAGATGACTCGATTGTTGGTGACACTTCATGAGTCCCTGTGGATTACTCGATTAACTTCACAGCCGTCATTACTGAACAAATGGAACATGAAATTCCTCATGTCACATCGCGCAGACTCACCACCAAGGCCATCCGACTGATGTCACAATACCTCTGCTGAAGCACAAAGTATGTTGCTAAGGCATTCTTCCACATTTTTCATTAAGTGCCTCAACTTCACTGATGCCAATGGCAAAACGGACTAAAACCACTGTTGACAGACATATCACTGAACCTGGCCACGATTTAGTGTGCGTATGCGTGTGTGCATGGGATATAAAAATCTGTGCATAAGCTGAAGTAGTGCATCCGTAAGTGGTAAAATTATTTGGAGCGTTTGAAAAATACGATAGACGAGAGCTTGCCTACCCGTGCACCGATCGTCCATGGTGCCGTCAAACTGATGAACTTTCCATAGGCACCTCCTTAAAGGGCACTCCCACATTTCCCATTGGTGGAAAGCGTTACTAAGCAACAGGATAAACAGTGGCACCGCATGATTGTAGTGGCATATTCATTATATCATAAATTGGCCCACAACCAGGTGCACCTCATTTGTGTGGCCAGGCACAGATAATTCACTTCAGACACCTCTAAATTTAAGCGGTTTTTCAATCGAAATCTACTTTTTGGAGAGGAGGGGAAAATCCTATCAATTGCTAGTTAAATGCCTAAATGTGGTAATTAAATATTTTGTTTATTTGTGTGTTTAACTGCGTGAGCACTTCAGACCCTGTGGGTTGTGTATTTGATCTGGTGCAGTCGTGAAATTCGGCGGCTTTCGGCTCTTCCCCAGTTCATTAGTGTAAGCTCTTCTCTACTACGGCTGGTTGTTACGACTTCAATGAAGCCTCTGTTTATTTGAAGCAACCACAAATAGGGTTTATTCGGTTAACTATTAATTTTGACCTGGTGGACACTTGGGGCTTCGCCCTTGTATCTCTGCTGGACAGGAAGGTGTTGACGCCACGCCAACAGCCACTCCAGCTCTCATATACTTAAGCAATACAGATTATCCTTCACATTGGATCGTCTTTCACCTTTGGGAGGGTCATGGGGCTCTACTGGGGAAAGCTGGTAGTGAAGTTAAAGTTTCATTTGTCGTGGCAGGTAACTCGTGTATAGTGGCTCCATTTTCCAAGCAGTCAAAACTATGATAATTGTGCGACGACTAAGCCCAATTAGTACCGTTAACAGGCCAAAGATCTACAACCGCATAACTAGTTTACCTCTTGTTTGGATAGCCAACACCAAAACTGCCCTAAATGCGACATTTTTAAATTCGAAGAAGGAGAATTCCCAGTTATTTGAAGAAAGGTCTGTTCAACGCGATTTGAAATCGTAGAACTCGTTAACTTCAAATTGCGATCATCTCCAGGTGTGGTTAGAGTAGCTTGGCCCAACCAGCAAATAATCCAATTTACACCAGTTACCTCCTCGCTGAGAAGCCCCAACTCCAACAACTACGACCACATTTCTCCCTCTCCACAGTGCGCTTCGATCTTTCTTTTGTAGCAACATTTGGTCTACAAATAACTGCAAATGTACATCGCCAGGAGTCAACCAGAACCTATTTATATTTTGTCGGGTCTAGATGTGTAGGTTCATCAAAGAAGGTTGAAAAGGGGCAAATTGGATAAAGGTCCATTTCAGCATTGCAGGCATTCTGGCTAAACCGACTCTACTTTATTGAGAAACTAAGCATCCATTTCCTCCATTACCACAGGCATTGCCTCTAGGTCCCAATCTCACATATCCGACGGCAACAGGTATGCACACATTGGGAGAATTTCGATTTACTACCTCTATCAAGGGACATGAGTGAGCGAAGATGCTTTTACTAAGGAAGTAATTCTAAGCCTCCACTGGTAGTGGCTACATGTTTCACTGGCGCAGAATGCGTCGTTCCAGCATTCGCAGCTTCGCTCGACGATTTTTAAACCACACCTGTATTCTCGATTCGGCAATGCCGAGTCGGATTGCCACCTCCTCACGTGCGCTCGCGTCCGGATACCTGTTCACCGCGAACACTTCCTCCAACGCACGCAGCTGCTCTGGTGTGTAAATTGTCCGATGGCGTCTGGATGCACCCTGAACTAAAGTAAAATAACAAAGCAGTGGGTGCTCTTAAATGATGGGGGAGGAGTGACTTTGCCTCCTGGCTGAGGCACCGCCTTCCATACGGCGCCTCTACCGATGTCTTCAAAGTAAAATCTGCCTTCTCCCACTGACAGTGAAACGACATCCCGTGTAACCGGCATTAGTCCAGTCACTCAGATCCCTATCACTAGCACTGGATAAGCATTGTGACAGTGACCAATGACAGGCAGAAATTATTGCGAAAAGTGGTAAGAAATGTCCTCACCTCAGCTGAAATTGCAATCTGCCTAATCATGCGGTCAAATGAATAAACGCAGCTTCCACATATCTCCACAATATATTGTTTAACGGTATAAAGCAGTAGAATGTGCCATCACACGTTCTTTTACAAAATTCACCTAAAATGAACTGTGTAACCTTACCCACGCAATACGACCTCGTGCCTGAACCGCAATGTACTGGCCTCGGTCAGTTCCTTGAATTCACACTAGGCATGAAAACCCTGCTTGCAGTAATATGACATTGAAAGGTGAAAAACAATAAAACATACTTAGAAGCAGTGGAGAATCAAATAAACCTGATTGTTTGATCACTGAGAATGCCAAATTTGATTGCATCACTTTCCCATTCAGTAGGAAAGCCATATTGGGTAAAGTGGGTCATGGAAATACGAACCCTATCCAAGTAAGGGTTGCATCTACAAAAATCCCTAATTTTGGTGGTAAAGGCCCGTCAGAAATAGAGGAAATGAGACTTCCAAGCAGCTAAAATCTTGGGTGATCACGTATGGTGGTGCATCTATGTTCACCTCTAGTCATTCGTGAGGTCTCACGTAATTTCAAACCCCACCTTTCTTAATGGAGCGCATTTGAGCAACCAGTGACATTGTAGACAAGCCGGATTTCCACCATGTGCTGATTGCATCTACCACTTAACTCGTTTATGCACATGCACCCTCAATGTGGGACCAAGGCGGTTTCAGGCTTCTTACCTTTGGCGGGGAGGCGAGGCAAATGATTTGACAGGTTATTGAGCCCACTTACTAGAACAGTTCTCGTAGTTCCCAATTTACTCTGAATTGGATGGCGATGGTTTACACGGGCCTACGCATTAGGTTGATGAGGGTATCTTCCTGGAGCTACAATAAGTTGGATGGGCGAATAAAAGGCATCACAACAGTCGAGGAGTGGAAGCGTGGATGGGAACACTAATGCAGTCGTCCTCCATTGATATGTCATTTTTAGCACATCCCTTCGAATTCTGAGGGTTTTTATTGGATTTTATTATGAGGATTTTTGCCCGAATCCTGGCGAATGGCATTCATTTTATCGTGTGATGATGCTCCACACGGACAGCTTCTCCACTGACATCGAATCGCATCTCATTCCATGTTAGTACCTCACTATATGCCAATACCGCATGTTTGGAGTCGTTTCTAACAAGAAACTTTATCCTCATTCCATCGACGACAAAACAGTCCTCTCCCTCTCCTCTCCAAAGCATTCATCATTTGATGTTATCAACCACACTTGACACGATTAACAAACTCGCCTATTTAGTGATAGGGACGGTTGGTACCCACACATAAATGACTTGTTGTTAGGGTGACGTTGTTGGCAAGATCGACAAAACAAGTCGACTCACCCCTTTCCTTTCCCTCCTAAGGGTGTAGTATGGGTGACTGATGTAATAGGCTCTCATCTCCAACCCTCCCGCCCACCACCTCACTCTCCACACGCCCTGACACACACGCACACACCTGTGATGTCTGCTGACCGCGGTGACCAAAGCACTGAGGGACCACAGCCACACCAGCTTGGCGGAGGTACGTAACAGAGACGTAAAAAATATTTGGATAGATTAAGTGGACCTGGATAGACCTGAGTGCAAGCCCATGGGCAGTACAATCACCGCCTTCCTCCAAAATGGCTAACGTTTAATCCACTCACAACACAACTTTGACAGACTAATTGACGTGTCTTTAGAATCAAACAGGAAATCCTTAAAATTATTGCACCACTTTCCAAACGATAAAGGTGTTTTATAAACTTAATCAAATGACCATTTTGATTGCTTTGATTCACTTCCTACCTGTACTCTGTGCTTCAGGAGTCATGCCTTGTGAATTGCCCGCCTTGGATTCCACTCCACCCTGGGCTGGAGGCTGTTGCATTTGCTGCGAAAGCATGCCCACAACTGGCATGAAGGGAGCCACTTGGTGACGTCGATTGCTACAGTAGTGTTGTTGCTCGTGTTGCTGTGGACGGATTGCGGTATGGGAAGAAGGTAGTCTTGGTGGGTATGGAAGAATTGAATTAGGCATGTGCATCACAGCATTGGGATAGCCAGAGTGCATTTGTGGCATAGATCCACCTGGAGCCTGGAATACTCCTTGGACTGTGCCCCATGTAGAGGTAGGCAAAGATGGAGGACCGTTAAGAAGCGGTGGTGGTTGGATTGACTGATAAGAAGTGGTGGGTGCAGAACCAGACCACGTTTGACCTCGGCTATCAACCTGACAGCTGGTTCCATTACTTTGTTGGCATGGCATCTACACAACACAGTCAGTTAGTCCACACGAGTTGTCGAACAATATAAGTGCATTTATCCAACAAGGGGCATTGCAATAACTGGCTGTAGAGGGAGGTTAGTTTATAGGGACAGAGATACGAGCGCTTACTTCCATTTCCGGAATCAAGCCTCCTGGTGACGAAGACTGTAGTGACTCAGTTGAAGGAAGGAAAGTGGGACAACAGCAGTTGGCAACAAAGCCTCCATTCAGCCGATAAGGCTTGCTCTGTTGTGATGCAGACTAAGGCAAGGAAAATGAAGTAAGGCAGAAGCGGAAGTCAGCAGTGAACCAAAGTTACTACTTAGCACCTTCTTAAGAGATGTGAATGTCATCTGAGATGGCAATCCAATTGCCCAATGTATGTTACAGTGTGGTTTTTTTAAGAAAAGGGACAATAAAGTAGACTGTAAACGAGAGTGTGAGAGCTTGCCTGAGCACTTTGAAACGAGGATGGCACAGTAGAACTGTGGAGTGGTGCGGAGGGAAAGGGTGTTGTCGATAGCAGGTTGGTGCCAGCGGATATCTGCATTGGGAAGGGAATGAGAGAATAGGTGAAGCCTCTCCTTCAAAAGGGAGATTTTGAGCACAATGCAAATCACAAAGGAGAATAATGTGGGATTGTAAATGGCAATATATCGTTTGGATGGTTGCTTTATCAAAGGGGAAGCAAGTAGTGTCTGCAATTTCCTGGTGCATTGAGCAGCAGATAAAAACTAATGTCATTTTACATTTGGCTCAGGCTCAAATCTGCCATTCAAGAAGTGTATGAAATTTAGGAAGGAATGGATGAATATGGAAACCAACCCGCATATTTTGCATTGGAGTGGCGATCGGTGGATGAATGGGCGGTGGCACAGTCGACGTTGGAACGGGTGAGAAGTGAGTCGCAGGTGCCACTAGTGTAGGAGGCTACAAAGTAGCAGAAGAAACAATGCACGAAATGCCTCATCATGACTAGCTTTGAATAGTGCTACGCCGTGAAACCTTAGTGCATGGTGCATGAAATTGTCCGACTAGATGACTCGTCTGATGACTCCCTTTATTCATTTGCGGGGGCCAAAATACAACCTTGGATGGTCTTACGTCGTCCTAAGGAGGTACAAATATGATGCAAGCGTCAGACCATCCTCCATCTTTTGACAAACACAACTACACTCCATAATCTAGCATCCTTTTCCAATTCTACAACATGGTGGATGCGACCTCACTCCAATTACACGTCGCTTCCCTCGAAACTCAATTATCCTTCCACCCACTTTCATCCTACACCATTCTTCTGTACCTGTTTCATTTCTGAACAGTCTATTCTGCTCAACATATTACCACGTGACTGTCTGGTGTTTGGAACTAGATGATAAACAATCGGAGAAACATGCAGGAAGTACAGAAGATGGAGATAAGGCATCATTGCCATCCCATTCTAAAGCGAGCTATGAGGTAATCCCACTGGTATGTGCCGCGCTGTGTGCCCCTGGGGCCTACACTTCCTTGTGAGACTAAGAATAGGACAGTCCATCAGGCCTTCACAACACACAAAACGCACACGTCTCGCTGTGAAATGGTACATGCCTTAGCATCGTGTGACGTCCAATGTCTTGTTTATTCCAGTAACGAGTTGTGGAATGAAGAATCAGTTGTTGCCACAAAACGGTCAATCAGCAACCATCGTATAGATGGCGCGTTTCTGTTGGGGGAAAGAGATGAAGGAGAGGAAGGGGAATAGATATGAATGCGATCCGTTAGCTTGCATTCCACTGCGATTTAAGTGGAAATTTGTAGTGGAGAGGACTTGTCTCAACTCACGGCACTCTCTCGAAGTAACTCTTCGTCTTTACTAGTACAATGCAGCCAGTTCTGTATACATATGCCCCTGCGCATTGAGTTTGGCTAACACTCACCATGCTTTCGGCCCAAACGTGTTGCACTCGCTTCGCAAGGCAGACGTGCTTCAATCACATTCACCCCATTCATCCCACAGTTTATGGGATAGGCTTCGAAGAAGAGGAAAGTGAAGAGGTACACAAACGGGTGTCGGTATACTACCGTTTGAGAGTTAAACTAGTATTATAAGTCACCTATCTGCGAATTTTCTGTGTACTGCATTGCTCTACCGCTAATGTAACCAAATTAGAAGTTGTAAAATCCAAAGTAGAGAAGAGCAGTTGGTACAGGAATCAGGTTATACCTGTAGGAACTGCATGGGGGGCATTGGAGTTGGCTGCAGGGAGGAGACAGATGGTGTTGGAGCCACATGCGACAACGCCTACAACAGTCGAAATTGGGGCTGAACAAACAGTTCACAAAATTGCATATTTGTATAAGGCATGAAAATGCTAAAGAGATGTAGCTTTGCATAACCATAAGCTCTAGATACAGACATTCAGATGATCTTTCTACAAATGCTCGAAGCTGCACAACATCACCCCTGAGTCGATATCCTTTCACAGACATGCAGCGACCTTTCGATTCCATGTTGTCAGGGTGCCACATTAGTCTGATTCATGTATGAAGTTCACCAGCAGCTCCATTTCTAAGCCCACTAACTTCACACATTGTACTAATATCCTGCTCTAGAAACGCAGCACTGCATAACAAAGAGGCTAAAAGCTTTGCAAGTTTTCGGCTGGAATATCAAGAAATGACATCAGAATGACACTTATGAGCAAAGCGTCACATGGAACACCTGTTATTTTATTCAACGACCACATAAATGCTCTCTTTACACATTGACAAGAGAGAGAAAACTGAAGTGCAAGCAGATCTTATACCTATTGAATGCCTTAGAAGTGAGAGAAAAGAAGTAGTCGGGATAGAGGCAATGTAACCTGCACAGTGGAACGCTGAACTCACCTCGGCAGAAGTGGTTTCTGCGACTCTGGCAATGGGTGCATAGTCTGCGCTGTAGCCTAGTGTTCCTTGAAGACTGGACTGTTGATAAGGTGAATAAAAATGACCAGTGTTGTTCAAATGCACATTCTGTGTTCCGTTCTGCTCTGGTCCATAATACCGTGATCCCGCATGCATTACCTCATTCTTCGATCCACCACTGCTGTCTGTAGAAAGAACAACACATGTCACACCAATTCCTGAAAAAATAAACTAAAGAAGAGAGGCATGCGCTTGCAGCATATTCATCAAATTGCAAGTGATGGGCTACTTTCCGATTTTGTAAGCGAAATTGCTAACTGTTGTGCTAAGTGGTATAACATGAGTTATCATCCAACTGGGAAGTAATCGTATTAATATGGCTAAACACGACTAATCTTTTAATCTCCATGACCCAGGGATGCATTTTTGATGTGGATGAAAAGGAAGATGGAGGATGAGGAAGTCGCATGCATGTAAGCTTAATGGAATAATGATGAATTTTGTAGCTATGAAACAGACATTGCATAATCCGCTTAGCCATCTCTGCCAAATGGAGTAACTAAGCTAGGCGAGTGATAATACCTTGACCTATTGAATTTCGGACATCTAGAAATCGATTTTCATTGGACTTTTCCGGATTTGAGCGCGTGATTCCATTTCTGAGCCGTGATTGGTCGACGCGAACGCTGTCCAATGAAAAGGTGGCGGCTGAGCAGTGGCGTAGGCCAATCGTAACGGTGAGCTAATGTGTCCTGCAGGTGCCAAAATTTGCACGAAAAACAAAACGGTTTTCAGGATACAATGGCATTTTGTGCAATAATTGTTGCAAAGGATGGGGGCTAAAACACAAATATTTAGGATTTTACAGTGGAGACAACCAAAGTGGTTAAAATAAGGCCGATTCATTGACTGAAACCGGCGACAATATTAGTACGTTCCGGATATTCTTCAGCATGAAACGTCACAAATGTGGTTCCTTAACGGCTTAACAGCTAACAAACATGCAATATTCCTTCCTACTGATTGCTGGAGTTGTTAGACATGTAGGAGTGTGCAGGCACAAGGCCTTAAGGCTACTAAGTGAGACCTGGTCTGCCAACGAATGGCAGTGAGCAGAAAAGCCTACCATGAGGTAAATACCAGTAAGGCCATTCAGCTAATAGGTCTGATCAAATGAATGGTTCGTTACCAAATTCACAATCGAACCAATTTGGTGGTGTATAGAAACAGTAAGGAGAAGGTCAGTAGGGGAAATCACTCTCACCGACACTGTAGGGAGAATCAGCATTGGACATGCAGAAATCGGTTTCTACTCTGACACCAAAGCAGCCACGTCAACATGGTGCAAGCACTGAGTGAAATAGAGCTTCGCGGCACATTGGACCAACCAAATGTGAAAGAATGCCCTGAATGAAGAGCATTCCTTTCTCACACTGACGCACTACTGCACATCACCACACCACATGCTGTATCACATCGTTGTTGCGATGACCTGCCGATGCAATGGACATTCCTCCCCTTGAATACGAACAAGTACTGAGCCTCAAGGCAAAAGCATTTTCCCATCTTATTCAAAGTGCTATAGTCTTACACGTTGTCTAAGAGGCTCGCAGCTTCTGCCCAAACAACTAATGGCGACGAACGTGCTCCCATCGCAGTACGGCGCTGTGGCTTGTAGGTCGTGTGCAATGCGTGCTATTGTTGATATTCGGGTGTTCCAAAGCATGAAAGCTGTTAGAATATCCTTGCAGTAAAATGTCCGCCAAACACAGTGGATGTGTATTCATCACGTCGACTGCACGAGCGAAGTGTGACTTGGTTGATCCAGCAAAGCACCAAAATTGTTCTTTCATCACTTATTATTTGAAGGAGACACATAAAAGATAAGCGGAACTAACCGTCCAAATGTAGTTCCGAAAAATTATTTGATGGTGTTGATGAATAACTCAAGGCTTGTTTGCTAAGTATTATGCTAGGCAAATCTTCAATATTGGAAGTGAAAAAATTCATGTCGATAATCGAAACGCTAGATCGAGAGTGATGCGCCAATATTGATGCCACCAATAAGACAGTGATAGAACAACTCATTTACACCAAAATAATCCACCCAAACGGTAGTGTAACTCCTAAGAATGGCATGCAATCACATGCGATAAGAGGCGCTAATAGACCTCTTCACTACTACCCACTTCACACTCATCCAGTGTCTTCGGGTAGGTCCCAACTACCAAGATGTTTTCCAAAGTCTCTTAAGACGGACAAGCATAACTTTGGTTGTCTCAAAACTGAATGGCCTCCATTGCAAAGGATGCTTAACTTCATAGCTAGAAGATAGATAGAGGATCGCATTTGCTTCGAAGTGTATGCCTGCTTCAAGTCTAGCCATAACACTCCTGACATAACAGCAAAAAACACAGCAGGATGGCTCCTTGAGTTAGACTACAATTGGCAGATTGGCTAGCAAAGTTGCCCATTCTTAGCCATGCAAAAGAATGCAAGGTCTCACAATCCACTCAGTGGCACAAAAGCGTGAGATCACATTCTTCACCTTAGCAGCAGGGAATGATAATCCCACCTTGTCACCATTCACCGTACTCCCATCACTATCCCCATGTGTTTATTATCTTTTCTATTAACAACTCAGTGACATGGTAATTGGTTATGTGAAATGAAGAGGCGAGCAACGCATACAAAGTGGAAGTGCCTAGGGGGAGGCATTTTGCACCTAGACAGAATTGACACATTTGCGAGCAGTGATGAGCGTGTCAACTCATGGAGCATTTTTGGACACTTACCTCGCATTCCTACCTTTTGATGGAAGCCTCACGACTTTCGCATGCACGCAAAAGTCTACTCAATTCCGCCTTTATTCCAATTTCAAATGCGTCCTTCACTGCTTCAGTGGGTTTGCAATACCATACCGTACTATAACAATCTTACCTCATATTTCAAATCCACTTCTTCTATTATGCTAGCAATTCCTCATTCGTCCTCATGATCAAAATGCACAGCTTCATCGGATTGTTCACCCATTGAGGATAGGCCAGTAAATAGCCTCTCTGTTGTGTTCTTGATTAAATCCTCAACTTGTCAACCAAAGTACTTGAGGAAACTGCCACATGACCATTTGTTTCTAAAGAGCCTTACTTTGTGCCCAATGGCAGTGGTAACAGGAGAAGTAGCTGTTGGCAATGCTGGAGATCCTGTGGTGGAGAATCAGCAGGACTTTGAACACTTTCCTGCATAACTTATAATTAGACCAGATCGCATGGTCAGGTGTGAGCGTGCATGCATGCGAGTGAGGTCGAGACTAATGAAAGAAGGTTAGATTGGGGTTGAGAGGCTGAAAGCAGGGGAGGAGAATGGGCAGAGAATACGCCAGTGAGGGCTCCTCTCGCCTAATTGAGTGATTGCTAGCACACAAATTAAACGATGGCAACCACACACGACGACACGACCGCTTATTAGCAATGAGACACCAACCATCGAACAAATCTGCCTTTCGTGTTCAACACGTCCGTGAGTGGGTGATAATTAGGGGCGAGGAGGTGTCGAGCCATCATCTGCTCCCACTCCATAGCAATAAATTGCCTACCGATTGGCTACCTGGCCTCCGTTCAATGCAATCGCGATCAGTGAAAGTTGAAATAAGTCAACTTGAAGGAGGCTAGTAGGCTTGCAGCCATACTAATCTCCACTCTTGTCATTGGTGCAGCATCACGATTACCACAACTAAAAATAAACTGCTGAGTCGACTTCCTTCCACTCAGCAGTTGGGCTCCAGTAATGTTTATGCGATGGCTTTTATTCATATTGCGAATCGTGCATAGATGGTGGCGACGACGACGTGACTGGACAAATTCGCCTGCCAATCAGGGCGCAGCTTGCATTAACATCGGGATGAACTACAAATTCCTGTTTTACCACGTAAAGAAAGGTAGATGGCCCTGCAAACTACTTTATCAACACTTTGAAGCAACATGCCTGTCCGCATCATTACTTACCGATTCATTTGGGTGCAGTCCACGTAGCAGAGGGAGGCACAATTACGGTGTGAGTTATTGGTCTTCAAGATGTTACTGATCCTATTCCGGACGTCGTCATCTCATTATCTTTGTCACACTCGGAATGCCATAAAAGGATTTTTCCAGCATGTAGGCAGTGTGGATGAGTGCGTGTCTTATGTTACTTCCAACGCTTTGAAACGTACTGATACGCATTTTCGTAGTCCCCAAAAAGGATTTCTCCACCATGTATGCAACACGTTCGTATCATAGCGAAAAACAACATCAAAGTCAAGCAACACATTGGATTGTTCTCTGAGAAGTCTAACTTCAAATAAAACATATTTTGTGAGATGTGGCAATCGGAAGCCTCCGGTCACTCCTACAGTCACCGTGTTGGAACCTACTATGTATCAAATGTATACGTAACCATGCTAACGAAGCGGCTGTGACACGTACTTCTCGTTCCATTGTCAGATCACGAAGATGGGAGCTAATATTGCACACAGTGGTTACCACTTTCTGGGTTGCCATGCCAACATGTCACCAAATGTCACGTACCGTGCAGTTTTGAGCTAAACATATAGTAAGATTCATGATGGAGGAATGTGACCATCAAGTCATGTCTACTGTTCGCCCATTTGATCACGAAAATTGGGGTTATTTCTAAGGTTGTCAATTGTCTCCTACTAGTCTTCAAGTCATTCTGATTGGTACAGTACAGGGCATTTCATCAGAGGAGTGTAGCTTATAGCTACCGTATCGACGAGCTGGAAAGGAAAAGGCATAAATGCGTGGCTAAACTCACGGTGATTGTATTATCACTTCATCTCTCCCTTATTCTATTCTTTTGTTAGGGCATTGGCTATTGAAGGTAGAGCAGCCTATTGGGCTCAATAGTTGGGCTCAGAGGAGGAGGAGGAGAGAACCATCTTGACAATCTTGCATTGTGTCCTTAGCAATCTTCCAATGCAGGCTGCATCACATAGATGATACAATTTGCCTCAAGACAACATCGCCTTCCATGCACGGAGGGAGCAATCAATCACACCTTCACCATGGTCACATTTGGTGTGCATTCAGTTGAAAGGCATGAAGTGTTTCGTGTACCATCACCAGTCGCATCACTTCATGCTCCCGCCCATCCTTCTCACCGCCTTTCCCTTCGTGTGGGTTGCAATCCACTCGCTCACTCCTCAGCCCAGTTCGGTCGGTTCGGTGAGCATGTTGGAGCGCTTGACGTCTCATTCATTCTCCTTGCCTGTGCATCTTAGTCAACCACAAACAAACGCTGTTCCATTGTCAAGTCTAGACTACAAATCAAGCACATCAATCCCCATCCTCGTACAAAGATGGTGTGGTGGGTCGGCACATAAATACGATCACCTCAACCTTGCTGCTCACCAAATCATTGCGAGGTGGAATACGGTGGTGTGTGTATCAGCGAGCGAATGGCATAGTCTAGATGAAGCGGCTGAAGGGCCTACTAAGTCGATGTTTTGGTGACTGAGGTAGACAGTCCCTCGGTTGCCAAAACTGCATCGGGTCTGTTGCTATTGTTGACAGCAATTTGAACTCCTAGGAATCCCACTCCTCACCATCAAACAATACAGTTGAGCTGCGACTACTTGACCATGCTTACCATTTTGGCATATGACAGCCTTACTACATAAACAGAGTCTGACTTATTTAGCCAAGACTGGTTCATGCAAGCCGGGTAAGCAGCAGCTGCTATGGCATCTCCTACCGACTTTAGGCGTATTTAACACTATAACACAAAACCGGATGCGAACTGCGTAATATGCTTCAATTCACGTGGTTGGATGGCTCAGCAGTTTGATTCACTTTACCTCCTATTCCTTTGAACATAGTCGAAGCCTTGCAGCGTGGCCAAAAAGACACACCATCTTACCGACATACGAGTGAGCTGTCAGAAGTTGTCAATTTACACATACAATCTCTTCGTAACGCCAAATGCAGGTGCCAATACCCAGTTGAAGTCGGTCTCGCGTAAGCCAACATTGACATCACTGCCCTCGCCTGCGCAGGAAACAACGCTTTCATTTGCGCCCACATAAACCGTACTAACGCAAACATTATTGACGAGAATCAAGCAAGAGAAAATAAGACCTCAATCCTACACCTACTGCACGCAGTGCAGCCATAAACCCAACATGAATCTTGCGAATCAGCCCCGAAATAATGGCACATTCCTGCAATCCATGTACAATAGTAGACGGGTTTCTTTCGGCCCATTAAAATATTCCTCAGATATCCATAGAAGTCCTCAA